GAAATCAACATCAGAATGTATAAAAGATTTTTTCCAATGTAGATAAAATAACCAATTCTAAAATCTCTAATAGAAAAAACTAAATAAGAAAAAATTTAGCCTAGTATCTGTTAAAAAAAAAATTACGGGACCACATGGAAATTTCAGTCCCGTCCCGGTCCCGCCGGGACCGAGACCACTTTGCAGTACCCTACTTGGAAACAGCTTTTTCCTTTGGTTATATGTCAAGAGTACTAAATGCTTTGTATACTTTGCCTCTGTTTGATATTTCCATCATCAAAAACATTGTTCAAAATACTTAATGACTGAAGAAGTCTCTGCTGTTTTCCTCCGTGCTTTTAATCTACAATAAATATATTTCTATTTAAAAAAAAAAAATTAGTTGATGTTTTTGATCCAAATCTTGTTTCAATACTTGTAACTGAATCTTATTCTGATCATGTTGTACCACATACAATGAAATCAATATCAAATGATAAAAAACATTATGAAATATCCTTTATACCAAATATAGCTTGTCAACATATTGTATTAATATCCTATAATGGAAAACTTCTATCAACAAATCATGTTAATGTTTGTAATATAAATAAAATACATGTTAGTTCTATTAATAATGGTATTGTTGGTAAACCATTGATATTTTCTGTTGATACACATGGTGTTGGAGATGGTCATTTAGAAGTTACAATTAGTGATGGACAACGAATATTACCAGCTGAATTAAAAAGTAATGAAACAAAAATATTTAATATTTCTTTTATACCTGAAATAAGTGGTTTACATTCAATTATTGTTTCATTTAATGGTATTCATATTGAAGGAAGTCCATTTATGATTAATATTGATGATCCATCAATAAGTGATGATAAGAGTTTAGATGAAGATGATGATAATGATTTTGAATTTTTAATTGGTGGACAATTAGAAGGTACAAAAGTTGATGAAATAGCTTGGGTTATTTGTGAAACATCATTAACTGATAAGTATGAAGATTTCAGTTTATATGTAACTGGTTTGTTTATATTATATGAAAATATGTATTATTTTTTTCTTTCTAATTTATATTCTTTTTTGTTTTATCTAGATCCAGATAAAATTATAATAAAACATACACGAATACAAGATTTCGATGGACGATGGCGTATTGAATTTGAACCAACTAAAACTGGTATTTATCAAATACAAACTGGTAGTGATAAACCACAAATAACTCTTGCATCAATGGATGTATTATCATTAGAATGTGAACGATATATTTATGGTGAACGTATTGTTTATTCTAATGCTCATAATTTTATTTCAATTATTTCTGATAATGACGATATAAAAGTACAATTAATATGTAAGTTTATTTTATTTTTCTTGAGAAAATAAAATTTTTTTTTTTTATTTTTTTCAGCTTCTAATAATAATGAAATTCCAATTGAAATGGAAAAACATTTATTAGAATGGAAAATTTATTATTCATTAACTGCAACTGGTAATAAAAAAAAAAAAAAAAATGTTATTGTATTGTGTTTTTTATATTTGAAATATTTCTTTATTTATAGGTCATTATCAATTGAGTATTATAGATAATGATGAAAAACAATTATTTGATATATATTGTATAGCTGAAAAATTGGATATATTTCGTAATGGTGGTATTGAAGATATAACACGATTAATTATTGATCGTAATAAAATTATTGGCGATGATATTAATGTTATTGTTAAAGGTAAAATAAGAAATAAAAGATTATTTTTTTTTTTTTTAAATCAATTTCTCTCTTATAGATGCATTAGCTCATACAATTCCAGCTGCATTTTATCGAAATTTAAGTAGAGATCTTGTTATTGAATATATACCTGTTCGAATAGGTAAATGATGAATACATGTTTTTATTCTGTTTAGTATATAATTAATGATTTCTTTCGGAGGTACGATTTAGAATTCTGCAAAGGGCAAACATTTATTTTTGTCAGTTAAGACACATAGCATATGATACAGTAACCATAAAGTCCGGAAGGACGCCACACGCTGGATAATACAGTATGAATTTGATGCGTTCTTCAGTAGATACGAGAGTTCTTACGTGTCCCTATGCTACCACTATTGCCATGGCCGACGAGGGAAGGTTCCCAACTGATTAATCGCTTTTGTGTTGAGACTATGTGCATTGTGTAGGTACAAATGAGTTATAAATGCCCTGAAAAACGTTCGGGCTGTCAGCGTATTGCTACAGAAATATTGCACTTTTACGGTATATTTTTAAATGAATGCCGTGGTCCCCCTCAAGGAAACCAGAAAAATGATTTTCGAATTTCGGCTTCAAACTTTACATAGAAACAGGTCTGACTGAGAATAATGTTTTGTGATAGTTTCAGATCTTGTCGCTGTTTCTATTCTGAAATGACAACATGAAAGCTTCTGGTTTATCTGAATGAAGTTACCATAGTTGTATCTACAGATAGGAACAGCGACAAGATCTGAAACTAATCACAAAACATTATTCTCAGTACGACCTGTTTCTATGTAAAGTTTCAAGTCGAAATTCGAANTGGCTGTATCTATCATATATCTGTTATAGATTGATGAGGTTGCTTACGATCGTAATCCTGTTAGATACAAACGTAAATCCATTCCAAAATAACTCTTATTACCCAGTTTTCCAAGCTAAACACGAATCTGAACTGAATTCCTGTGATTTCTAAAGATATTATATCAGTCTGAGAGTAGAGTCAGTGGTCACCGGATAGAGTCGCATAGAGTGTGTTCCATGATAAGTTAGCACGCCTGTATTTTCTCCTTGCAATTTAGTGATAAAAAACACAGTGAATATACCGTTTTCACTTTTTGAAGTACACATAATACTCGAATTTAAATCCGAGGTTTTCGCATTTATTTAAACTCGTCTTCATCTCACAGAGAACTACATGCAATATATAATATGAAATCGAATGGCATCCATAAGTTTGCTGTTTCCTAATTAGATAATTATATTTCGAAAAACTTTCCATATGATTCCAACGGAATGAAAATCGCCCGTAGACTATCTCTGGCCGTCATTTCATCATAGTATACTGAGAATTATTCTCAGATGGACAATCTACTGTCAGTATATTAATGACAGTATGAACAAATGTGTATCATGGATTATAATTGATTTTATAGATAGAGATGAAGATTACAATGAATGAGTTATCATGTTTGGATGTATATTAGAGAATATGAACTTATCATGATCTGGAATTTCTTACGACTGGAATGAATCTATTTATATCAAGAGTGAAAACTACAATTTCACTCGTACATCATCTGTATTTAATCATGTGCTCAAAGTAAATTAAGATTCGTTCTTTTTTTTTTCTTTTATGCTCCTTGGATTACTATATTCATTCAATCAGAATGTTGAATATTGATTTAGATTTATAGCTGATTTGATAATAATTGAATAATTCATTTATATTTATAGCGCTATCTTCATCCTGAATCATCACCTCGAATTCTCTCGAGTCATTCGAAAAAATCATCTACAGTATCAATGACATCAGAACAGGAGATCGTCTCATCATCACCAAGTAATTTAATTATACTAAATTAAAATTAAATTAAAAAAAAAAAAACTATACTGATTTGCTTTATATGTTCAGATGAACAACAAAAAAGTTATGCATCAACATGTCCATGTGAAACTCATTTAGCAAGAACATTTGCTGAAGGAATATTTTCATATGATGTTGATACGCTTTTTGAGTTGATATTTGGTGATAATTCATTCTCACGAACTTATCATGATTCACAAAAATTATTAGGTAAATACTATAGATTTTCTGAAACTTACATTATGTTTTTCGACTTCTTCCCTTCGTAGCAAGGGTGCAAGAAGCCAATTTTTGGCTATAGAAAAAGCCGAGACTAGAAGAACACTGAAAAAAAAAATACCTTCAGGATGAGCATGAGTGTGTAGATGAAGACAAGACTAGAACCTATACTCGCTGAGTCGTATGAATAACAATGCTTAGATTATTCCAGGAAATACGTTTTCCAACGTTCTAAAATGACAGATATAGAGAATAATGGCCAGTGATATTTTGATTTGCCACAGTAATCATATGATCAACATTAAAAATATGTACTAATCAAACGAGACAAATCATTTCTCTGCCGATTGATTATCCTGAAAAAACAGCTATAATCTGCTAGAGATTCTTTTACTTTCCGTATTTTATATCAGCATCATGAGGCTAAGGAACACATGTAGGTTTCATATTTTAGATCCAATACGGCTGGGCTTGCAACCGGTCTTAATAAATGTAGTTCTAATTTCTGTCTTTTTTTGTTTTTGTTTTTAAGAGTATACTATTGGTGAATGGTATATTAATAATGAAACTGGTAAACGAGAACGTCAAGTAACATATAAAACAATAACTCAATCGATTCTTGGTACTAATACAATTTTTTGTAATGAAAAACAAGTTCGTTTCTTTTTCAGTTATATTAATTCAATAGACTTTTTCAAAAAAACAAAATGATTTAGATAGTCGAAGAAGAAAAATCTCATTCAATATACATTGTTCGTACAGATGTCTATAATGAAGGAATGCGATATACGGATGCATTTTTTGTTTCAACACAATTTTGTATGATTCAATGTGATATTGAACATTCTTCATTACGTGTTAGTGCTGAAATAAAATACGTTAAAAATGTTAATGCAATTGCTAAAAGTAAAATAAATATTTTATTTTTATTTTCATTTTAATTCTTACATGTTTTTATCTTTCAGCATTTATTGAAAAGAATGCTAATACATCAATTGAAGGTGGTGTCAATAATCTAAGTAAATAGAAATTTTTCATAAAAAAATATCAAATTGCAGAACTAATGCTTTAAAAAAAAACAATGAAACAAACAGCATAATTTTTTGTCTTACATCTCAGTGACTACTTCATCATCATCATCAGTAAGTAAAAAAATAAAGTATAATTATCGAATAAAAAAAAAACAAAGCTTAGTTTTAGTAAAATTAGCAAATATTAATTGTAAAACTTGTTTTGTTTTTTTGTTAATATCATATAAAATTGATTTATTCTTTTTTGTTTTTAAATTTCAGTTCGTAGACTCATAAAACAACAAGATAAAATAAACAATCGTGATTCGAATCGAAAGCAAATATCAATATTAAAACAACGTGAACGAAAAACAAGAGATTATAGTACAAGTCAAGATGAAAAGAAAAATGATGCAATTTTAAATTCTATTATATCATCAGAAGATGAAGTAGTACTAAACGAACAAACCACTACTGGAAAAAATCTTGCATACAGCATAGCTTTTTGTTGTGGCATTTTTCTTCTTATTCTTCATACTTATCTATGTTATAAATTGCATTCTATTGACCAAGCATTATATGCACCCAATCTTACATGTCTAAATCGATGTAAAGAAGGTTTGTTATTCTACTAATTGTTTATGAGAATGAAATTTTTATTGATCCTTCGTTTTTTTAATTCAGCTTGTTTGGAACACATATATGGTCACTGATCAGATTTATGTCTTAGACGATATTTTATATCTGCATTACTTTTTTTTTTAAAAACAACGTTTATATTAATCAAAGAAGGATCCATAGACAATATGTGTTTTTTCATTCTTTCTTTACATAATTGTAAAGGAGAGATGTGTCAAATTATGAACTTAGCATCGTAAAAAATCTAAACCTAATTTTTATTAGTCTGAGAATTAATATTGAACCTTGATTATTTTTTCACAAGTTAGGTATTGAAAAAAATTTTTTATCGCCATTCCATCAGAAGTCTTTATAGTGCGATTTACTGAATATGCAATTCAATGTTTAGTAGAGCATTTTTGATCTAACTACTATATTTGAGATCCTGTTTGACTCCAAAAAAATATCAGATTTGAAATCAATACAAAAAGTTAAATCGACTTATGTGTATTTCAAATTGTTGCTACGACTTTTTTTTTGATCAAATTTTGACTCCTGATCCCACTCAAGGATATATGAAAAATGAATTTCATCAAACAATCATTTGGGTAGGACAATATTTGCTCGGAAAAAAGATCGCAAACGATTTGAAACGTACATAATTCGATCTGAAATATAGTTGTTAGAGCGACAGTGATTCATCAGACATTGAACTTCAAGTTGAAAATGATATCATTAGAAAGGACACATTAAATTATATAAACTGTAAGGAAATTTAGACTGCTGCATCCGTAGAAATTAAAACTTCATAAGACTGAAAAATCATTATTTGTCACAATATGAACTTGTTAGGACAGTATTTAGCATCTATGAATAGAAAAATATTTGAATATCTTAGAAGTTATTATAGCGAAAGAAATTCTGCATCAAATATACTTGTTTTTAACGATTTAAAAACTGATTTTCAGCATTTCCAGAGAATGCTTCAGATCTTTCGTATTATCTGAGTAGTTTTGAAAAAAACAACATGATATTTGTATTCAGCACACTTAGTGTTATCGAACTATAAATACTTTTAATAGAACGATGATAAAATACAAAATAAACTTGTAAAAAATAATCAGAATTCAATATTGATTCACCAGATGATAAAATTAGGTTGAAATTTTCGGAAAATCTAGATCCGTAATTTAACACACTTCCTTTTTATCATCTAGATTTTGAAATAGTCTTGAAATTTTTCTAATACATAATATAATAATAAAAATAAAATAAAATTTTACTTAGCGCCTATTATTAATCTATTTCATTTTTGTTTATTTTTAATTAATGTTTAAAAAAGACATCAAGTATGGGTCGTCGCAAATCAAAATTATCGACATTCTCTACATTTCATTGGTTTTATAGTACTATTGCGTTCATATTTGGTATTGTTCCACAATCACAATTAAGTCGTCGTATTTCAACAAAACAATATAATCGTAAAATTAACAGTTCACGAATCAATAAAAATATAAAGACATATAGAAAACGAAAATGTTTACAAATAGATACTAATCAAAACGCGAACAAAAAGAACAATAATGAATTCAATGATGTCTATAGATCATGTGAAGCATCTGAGGTGAGATACGAAAATGATAAATTGATTATATTTGAACTTTAAATAAATATTCACAATGTTGTCAAATGAAGTTCGTTAGAAGTCAAAGCTGCATAAGATTCATAATATTAAAAATTTGTAATCAGCTGATTTTCCTTCAGTAATTCCCTCAAGATGCTACAGACGACGCTTTATGTTTTCGTTTATATGATACAGAAGATAGTTCTATTTAATCATATAATAGTCAATATTAGGTCTGAGAAGTTATCTAGTAACCAATAACCGAAAATTTGTGAGTTTATCTTGCAAAGAATTATTTGTCAAAAATAATGATATTTTATTACGTTTGATCAAAGTTTGTTGACATCAAAGAACTTATGTTTCCACCTTAATTTTTTAAACAGCCAGATTCCAACAAGGTTTTTCTCTGATATTGTAAAATTTGATTGGCTGAAAAAATATCGTCTATCAAGGATTTTTCGATTCAAAAAAATATTTGGTAACTTTTCTTCTCTATTTCAGTGATCAGAATAATCGAATCAGTTGTTTCCTATTGGTATTATCAATGTTTGAAAGAATAAGAACTTTTCTGTTTTTTTTTTGTCACATAGTTAATAACAATACTCAATAATAACAATAACCGTAATCTTGACAATCTAATATATAATAATATGAATGTCAACCAATCATCATCTGATGATCAACAACAAATTCTATGCATTCGAATAGAAAATAAAGAAGCAGCTGAATCTATTCAACATTTATTGATGAAATATGCATCGATTTTTAAAGATAGTCGTATTATTGATTTACATGAACTTATACAATTTATTCAATCACGGACAACAACAAATATAACTCATGAAGATGCTTCGACAATGACAAATACTGATCATATATGTCATCCAATAACATCTTGTGCTAGTTTTATAACACAAAATGAGAATGTACGTCGTCTAAAAGCTTTAGAATACATTCGAATATTTCTCGAAATGAACAAAGAAGAGTTTTTCAATTATCTGATCAATGAAGAACATCTTTGTCAACAAAAAACATTGGCTATTTATCAAATGATAAGACAATTTCTTAAAGTTATATATCAATCAGAACATGAACAGAAACAAAAAACTATTGCAGATTGAATTGAATAATAATCCATTGTAAATACGAATATGTATGTAGAGATTATATCCAAAAAGAAAAAAATGTTACATACAATCGAGAAAAATATTAATGTATTAGGCATTTATTATTCTAACAGTTCAGCGAGGATAGATAGAGGACTGGGATTTTTATCATTAACAAGAGAAGAGTATATTTTATTGAAACAGGTCGCAAATCGATTAGACTCTTTCACTTCCAAAGCAGCTCGAGTTGAAGCGTGATAGTAAGAACCGTCAGACACCTTTTAGATGCTAATGCTATTTTGACTTGATTTAGTCTTCATATAGATCTACACTGAAAGTAATTAAGTCCTGTCGTAGATATAATAAATGTGTAGAACAAGCTTATCTACTAGTTAAATCAATAAAAACGGAATATGAAAATGAAAAGCAACCAGCGAATCGTTACAAGAAAAAATGTCCGTTCGAAATGCAGAAATAAATTAGATAAATCGTTTCCCAGATGGTTCAACATCCTTGTAAAACAACTATCATATTTTAGAGAATTTTCATTTACGTTTTTTGTATTAGTATAGTGAAGCTGAAAACAGATATGAACTAATATGTGTATCACATTTATTTATTGACACGTTATTAAAGAAATATTTTAAAATTTATCATATTTTTTATCACTAGATTTTTTGCGATACATCATTATATCCCATGATGGTCTATCCGGATTTTTTGATTGAACTTCTATTCGATCAGGTTCAAGTAATTGTTCACGACCATCAAGTACATCAACAGCTAAACGTGCAACATGTAAAGTAATAGTTACAGGATGTTGCTCTGGTGAATTAGCCCATTCATCAAGTGACATCCATTTACAAGCAGCTATTTCACGTGGATCATAATTTATTTCTTGATCTTCTTCATTTTCATTCAGTGACATTAGACAACAGAAATAAACATCACCATGTCCAAAACGAAATTGTGCTTTATATGTAAAAGCAAGTATACCACGAAAATGAGCATGAATACCTGTTTCTTCAAATACTTCACGTTCAACACCATTTTCTATTGATTCACCTAAACAAAATTTATATCAATATATAAATAATTCGGAAATAATTTGTTTTTTTTTTCTTTGATTACCCATATCAAGACATCCACCAGGTAGTTTAAAATAATTTTCATCATCAGAAAATCGTTCTTGAATGAGTAATACTTCACGTTTTTTATTTACAACAAGACCACCAACACCAATTGTTGACATAGCATAAGAAGGCAATTGATTTGGATCGTTTTTATCAAGCCAATGTGTTAACATAACATAATCAGGTTTAGCATGATGAAGAACAAAACCAAATTTTTGTGCAATAGGAATAAGTTCTGTTCTATCATGTGGTATTGAAAGCCATATTCCTCGACGTTTTTCTTGACGCCATGCTTCTAATGATTGTTCTAATTGTCGTTCAAATTGAGTTGATGTTTTAGCTAAAAGTTTCTTATCAATAGTTACACCTGAGAAAATATCACCACAACCAGTTAATAATTTTATTTCATCACATTCTTGATCTTGAGTAGTACTCATTCTTGAGAACTTTTTTTGTGAAGAAAGTTTAGTTGAAACAACTATAACAATATAAACAGGATAACCAATAGTGAGTAAATATAATAACCAATAAAAGCATTAGAAGATAGACAAACAGCGACATATAGAGGGAACAATCGAACGTAAACCTAATTTTAAAGACTAAAATATTTCAATAGATAGAATATACGTTTTGATAGAAGACAATATTGAATTATTTTACACGACTATTATTTTTCTCAAATCGATATATAAAGATTTTTCATTTTAAAAAGGAAAGTCTCGAATAGAATGGATCATAGAATTATATGTTTCGTTTAATTAAACAAGTGAATTGCTTTCACTTTTTCATAATACACACTTATTCGATATATTTATTTTCGATTTTTTTGACAAATCTTTGAATATATGAATATCGGATTGATTTTCGCAATTGAATTGAGATCGAAGAAGAATGTTTTCGTACAAAATTCATTCTTCATGTTTTTTTTTTTTTTTGAGTAAAACAAAAAGGACATGTATCGAATCGATCAATTTGATTGTAACAAGATTCATACTTGATCCAAAACTCATTCTTTCCGAATAAATTCGATACATCTATCTTTGACAAAGAACATTTTCCAATCTTAATGATTTCGTTCGATTGAAAAGAAAACTTAATCAATTCGAATAAAATATTGAAGATTTCTTATTGCATTCTATTAATAAGAATTGATTTTTCGAATACTTATATTGATCTTATGGATACTATTCAATTAGGAATAATTTTGATTTCAGATCTTCATCTTTCGAAAGAAACAAACGTATTCATTTTTTTCCTAAACGTTAACTTTTTTCGAATCAGTGATGCACGCTACAAAAATTTTGAACTTATTTGTAGGAAAAGTTTTGATTGAAATAAAATCAGATAAAAATGTACAAATTTACGTTCGATCTGACTCGATGGATCTCTGTTTGAGATAATCACTACTATAAAATATTACAACTTTTATAGATAATAGTTTCCTAATACTTGTTCACCAATACACTGATCGTCTTCATCGAGCGGCATACAGTCAACAAGTTCTATTTTCTCTAAACAGTTGGCTTAAAACAAAAACTTTTAGATCACGGCTAAGCTTGAGTTCTTTTCTCTTTACTTAGGATCTAGATTTTGCTTTTATTCAAAGAAAATTAATTGTAATGAATATTTTCATTTGATTAACACAGATTTATTCTGTTGCACTAATGAAAATATATTCATCTAAAACTGTCATCAACAACACATGAGAAACATGTCATGTGTATCTAATAATGGCTTTGAAAGAGCAAACAAAACAGTGATATCTACGTATTCATCAAATATGTGTTGCATTTGATTTAATGTGAATCTATATTGATTATTTTTCATTACAGCGATAGTATAAATAAACTTTGAAACTATTGATTAACAATTTATGACTTGATGTATTATATGGTTCAAGGAATGCAAACTGTTTTCTTATGAAATATAAAACAATTATGAAATTTCCAGTGTATTACTTCGAAGCTGTTATTAGTAAGGGTGTGACTATGACCCTTTCTCTCACTCACACCTATCCTTGAATAACTGTCTTGTTATCAGAGAGTTGAAGGACGAAATCATAAAATGTGCCCTCTAGCGAATTCATGACATCGGAACAAAGTGATGACATATTCGAACTTGAAAGTTAGTGGCCGGTATATTGAGAAGAAACAAACACAGAAGAGAATAAATGCGGAAACCTCGGACTTAAGTCCGAGAGTTATGTGTACTTCAAAAAGTGAATGAGACAAATCAGCCATACTAGAATGTGTGGATATACAAATTAGCTTGGCAAACCTTTTCTATAAACACTTGAATTCTATTGACTACTGCTCAACCAATAGGATTTGGGGGCGAATACAACTCAGATTTGAACTCTTCGCCTTAATTTACACTCAGAAAGTCGTTTTTTCTATAACTTGATTTCTATTGGTCAGTGCTCAACCAATAGGGCTTCGAAACAAGTGGAGTACAGATTCGAGTTTTTCACCCCAGAAAACCTTCAAGCACCACCTCTTATCGGAAGATAGTGCTCTAATTGTGGATCAGTTAGAGCGTGGACAAGAACAGAACCGATTTCTGTTTATTTATCTTTGCAATAGGTGAGTTAGCCTTCTTGTTTCTTTATGTTTTATATACCATTTTGTAGCTCGTAAAATTCTCTATCGAATGGTATATAATAGTTGGGATTTTGTTTGAGTATGATAGGAAAATTGTTTTACGAAAGCGAGGAATGGTCGATTTTCCCACAGGAAGCCATAGGGAAAAATGAGTATTTTTGCAATAACTCAGGAACAGTTCGGCCAATTCTTCTCATCTTCGAACTCGATCGAGACATTGATAAGACTGAACTGTGTAGAAAATTTCATCGCGATCAGACTCTCCTTTCAAAAGTCATCGCGTAAACGGACGGCCGAACACACTGACCGATTCTAGAGTGTACTCACTTTTTGAGTACACAAAAACATCTGTTTATATGTATTTGAAAGAAAGAAGATGAAAATGAAGCTGAAGTACTGATGAGAATATCGAGTTTTTTCGTTCTATATCATTGCTGATGATACAGTAGACAAATGTTCGATGGCAGAAGCTCTAGCCATTTACTCGTTGCAGTTACTATTTTATCTATCTCAGTGAACTGTAACAGTTGTTTCTAAGATGTCATTATGTCTAGTAGAATAGTGTAGTTTCTTTTCTGAATGAAAATCAGAGTATAAAACGTTGTTCATGCAAACGTGTAAGCTTGAAAAACTTTCTATTGCCATTAATTTCAATTGATTGCTGATGATTATCAACAATGAATATTTTAGCAACCAACTTTTTCTCTTCAATCCACATCTACACTTATCCCCTCCCTTCATATCACACGGATACCCTAAACGAAATATTGTTGTTGAAATTTGTAAGATTTTTTCCGCGAATTTCATAGAGTTTTGTATAATCCAATCATGATGTTGCTCAAGAATGGATGAGAAGAAACTTTTGAAAACTTTATGATGCTAGAACTCACTTCGATACATCTAGTTCTATAAAAATGGTGCTAGTACATTTCGTCGCACGACACTTCGTCGCAATCACTTCGTCGCAGAACAATTTTTTTCGTTCTGTTCGTCGCACAACAATTTATTTCGTTCTGTTCGTTGTGTTCCTCTCAATTGATTGTTCCAATGCATATGACTTTAGTTGGGAAAACGGATCAATAAAAAATTTTAATACAATGTCATTCTGATGGAGCTCCAGTGAACGAAGAATAACTTAAAAAATATTGCGGCTAATATTACTCTTTAATTTTTCTTTTTTTTTTGATTTCTCTCTTCTTTTTTTTGCTTTTTCTAGTTTGGGTTTTTTTTGCTTTTTTTGTACTCAATTTGTTCATCATTATCTTATGTATCATGCACAAAATAAAGATGAATTAAATTGATCAATTTCATGTCTTGAAAAACAATTAATTGAGAGGGACTCAGCGAACAGAACGAAAGAAATTATTCTGCGACGAACAGAACGAAAAAAATTGTTCTGCGACGAAGTGATCGTGACGAAGTGTCGTGCGACGAAGTGATCGGTCACCATAAAAATATCTTTTTTGTCAATCAAAAAAACCGTATGCATATTGGTCTCGAATAATAAATTTCATAATATTTCTTTTACACAAAATCGTACAAATGATATCATATTTTATCATCAACAAAGGAATTAACAACTAGCGATCTACTAGCAGTAGGTATTTCCTTCGTCTTCACCATAATGTTCATCATGATTATTAAGTAGTTAATTTCATTTCCATGCATCTTCGATCTTGAATCCAGAGTGAAACAGTTGAGCCAATTATAGAAAACTAAAATCATGATGAATGCACAACGACATCTCGTTATTTAATATTGAGATAAACATTTTTTTTATATTTAACAACTATTTTCAATTTCCACAAGGAAGATTTTTTTACTACATGAATCTACAAAAACAAGTTTTCAAAACAATTTTTTTCTTCGGGAAAAAAACCCATTACATCAATTATTCTGACAAAGTTACTTCCGCAACAAAACGCCAATAAATTTACTTTTTATTTCTCCCATTTATATACTGAGTCAAGAAATTTTTGTGTTTCTGTATAAACGTATATGATGCTAAAGGTGGAAAATTTATACCCAGACATGCTTCATGACGTATAAAAACTTTATTTCAACATTGTGTTATGTTACAAATTCTTCAAAGCAATAATCGACAAACATGTTGCATTCTGCTGAAGACATAGACGAGTCAAATACTGATAGTAATGTAGAGATCGATGATAGCGAAGTAAGTAATTATTGTTAATAATGATCATTTATTTTTAATGATCATAATTTAACCAGTTCGATGAAAACGACGATGTGTTTGCTGGACCAGAAAAGATTCTGAGTAAGTAATAACTAATAAGTGATGCATTAAGAATGGCAGTCGCAATATGATGAGGTCAACTTAACCTGTTTTCTTTTCTCAGACTTGAACTTTTTACTAAAATATTGTGATTGCCATTCTTTATGAGCTACTTATTATTATACTGCTGTTGAAACATATAACATTCGAATTCTTTTTACTTTATAGTGCCAGAACTACCTCTTGAACAAGAAGTGTCTGATAATGACATTCGATTGGCAATGGAAAAATTCCCACAAAATTTTGCCAAAGTTTATCCATCATCAGGACCAGCACTATATATGGGACCGCTCAATGAAGCTATTAATCATTCATTATTGAATCTTATCGATGTAAGTTTTCAATTATTTTATATCACAGGTTGAAAGACTTTGTTCATTTTCTTTTGATGTTAAGCCACGTCCTTTGCTACTCTATTTGCATCGAAATGGAACAGCATCTGCACATATATTTTGTAAAAATGTACTTTGTAACAGTGAAATTATCAATTATCTTGATAATAATTATCTTGTTTTGGCCATGGGATTGTACAAAAGATGCTAATTATCAACGGTAAATTAATTTGATATTGAAACATAAAAGAATATCATCATGAGAAATGAAATGATCATTCTTGAATGATACTTTCTTTATGAATATTTATATGAAGTTTTCATAATAGGTTTTTATTGATGTTACTTGAACATGTTGGTCCCCAAGTTACAGCAATGGTGGCTGAAATACCTTTTGATAATTATCCACAATTAATCGGTCTTTTATTCGAACAAAATCAAATCAATGCTACTAAAGTCATTTACAATCTTAACGATAGCACATCTACAGATGAAATATACATGCGTCTTCTTAACATAAGAGAACGATTTAATTGTTCAATGGAGATATTTCACGATGAAATTCAAAATTTTCCTATTTTTTTCTCTGAAAGTTGGTCACCTCCAGCGAGTCAATTCCAGATTCTTGATAAACAAACAGATGAATTTCGAAATGTTGCTAGTTACTTTAATGATGATCATCATCGAATTATTCATGTTGAAAGAATTGAAAATCAAGCATGGGGTAAAATATATGAAGAAGAGAAGGAAAAAATTGATAAACGTATTTGTTCCAGTCAAACTGATCGCATTCTCTTTCATGGTTGTCTACGAACAGCTTCTGAAGAAATTTTACAACGAGGATTTGATAAAAAAATTGTCGGTATACATGGTAAAGCGAAAAAAAAAACAAATTTATTGTAAAAAGCAATTGTATTCATATTTTTTGTCATTCTAGGCACAGACTATGGTGATGGATTCTATTTTTCAACGAATCCAATGAGAAGTCATATGTATGCTTTGCCTGATCTATCACGATGGGGTGAACGAACAATCTTCGTATGTCATGTTATAGTCGGTAAAACATGTCATCCTTATTCGACGATCGAACCCGATAAAATAGAATACGATTCGATCACTGATGGATCAGAGATTTATGTTGTCTCTTCAAATCGACAAATTTTACCGAAATATCGTGTTACATACAAATATATTTCGTGATCAATTCATTTTCATAATTCATATATGAACACAAAACAAAACAAAAACATTAGTTGAACATATTTTCACTTGTAGTATACATATATAATTAAGGGGACCCCCCCCCCCCCGTTTCTCGAGCCAAGAAGTTTTTTTTTTTTTTATATAGAGATGTATCAAGGTCCTCTCTATGTGTTCTATAAAAATCAGAACCATCCAAGGTTGGAAAGTCTGTGAAAAATCAGGTTTTTTGGAGACATGTGCAACAAAAAAAAATTTTTTTTTTTTTAACATGAAGTTATATTATGATATGGTATACCTATACTTACGTAAGTGGGAAAAAAAATTTTTCTACAAGTTTTTTTTTATTTTGCATTTTTCTCGAAACTAGTTTTTTGGGTATCAAAAACCAGTTTTCCCCCTTTTTCTCCGCCATTTCAAGTCCGATTGGGCTCAACATTTTTTTGGTGAGACTTCAAGTGATTTGGGCTGGGCGTTTTGTTTTCTTTTTGGATGCCTTCTACCAATCAAGTTTGGCAGGCTTCGCAAAATTTTTAGGATCCAAAAAACCTAGAGATTTTGCGAAGTGCTCNGACGCAATGTCGCCCGAACATGTTCAAGCAACTGTTCGATTCGCTGCGATGAATAATCTTCGTTTAGTTATCAAAAGCACTGGACATGACATTTTAGGTCGATCGACAGCAGCTGGATCTCTACTTTTATGGCTTCATCATATGAAAAACATGACATTGATTGAACAATACTCATCCTGTGGCCTCAACAATGTATCAAATGCTATTCGTTTAGAAGCAGGTGTCCAATGGAGTGAAGTCTATCTATGGCTGAGTAAATTCAATTTGGTAGCAATTGGTGGAGCATCAGGTACAGTGAGTGCGGTTGGTGGTTACCTTCAAGGTGGTGGCCACGGTCCACTATCGCGTTGGAAAGGTTTGGCTGTTGATCAAGTACTTGAATACGATGTTATAACGGCAGATGGACAACGTCAGACAGTAAATGCATGTCAAAATCGTGACTTATTCTGGGCATTAAGCGGTGGAGGTGGAGGTACTTATGCGATTGTACTTTCTGCTGTTGTACGAACTTTTCCATCGCCATCTATTATTCATGCAATTTTTTTCTACAAGTTTTATTGNTTGTACGAACTTTTCCATCGCCATCTATTGTTATTGCAACATTTTCTGTCAAGGCATCAAATGAAACTCGCTATGAAAAATTAATTGAAAGCTTCGTCGAAATTTTACCGACAGTAGCCGATGCCGGATGGTCTGGCTATTTCGATATAGTCGATATGACATTAAGGGTTTTATTTCATGTGCCTAATGGAGATTGGGCTGCACTCAATGCTACATTGAATCAATTTGGGGCCAGCAACATTGATTTAGATTTCACAATCACCAATAGTTTTGTTGTCCCATCATTTTATTACTACTTTGCCCTTATGTTGGAACCAAATAATCCCACTGGCTATAATCTTCTAGTGAGCTCACGACTTATTCCAGAAAGCATAATTCGGAGTAAACCAAGCCAAGTCGCAAAAGCTTTTGTCCAAGCGAAAGGTCAGAGTACAACTGGCTCGAATCTTCGTGGAAGTTTTGTAGCTGGTGGACAAGTATCAAATACAACAAACAGAAATAACAGTGTTAATCCTGGATGGCGTACAGCTCTTCTTCAAATGATCTGTATGCAAAGTTGGTTGGATACAATATCCAAAGCTGAACAAGAGTACTTAGCTACACAAGTCTTACTTCGAGGAGAGATGTTAGACACAGTATTGCCTGCTGGTTCACAACCAACATGCTACGGTAATGAAGCCCATCCAAATGAAATGAATTGGCAAGAGAAATTTTTCGGTTCGAAAGTTATATACAATCAACTGAAAAGAATAAAAGAAAAATACGATCCACTGGGACTCTTCGTATGTANAGTCAATTTAACCGACATGGAAGCCATCTCAAGTAGGATTTAACGGACTTGATAGAATCGATTAATTGTCTCAATAGAATTGTTATTTACATGATCAAGCTCAACTTATATTTGTTTTCGGTGACCGAATTCTTTCGGCGAAAATAGAATCGGTGAACTTTTTTTCGGCGAATTTCCTTCGGTGAAATTTTCTTTTCGGCGAAATTCGTCTTCGGCGAAAATGGACTAAATCGAGATCATATACTGATTGAAATCATCAATGAGGGAAAAACGTTGATTGCAATGAAATCAATCATTGGTAATTAAAATCTCAACTTTTTTCCCATTGATAATCAATCAAAATCATACGAGAATAGAGTATTTTTTGTATATGAAATTAATAATGTCTTTTAATGCTTAAATTTTTGATAAGGTTCATGGCGTGAATAATTTCAACATTGTCCAGATGATCGATATTAGCTATCAGACGAGAATATACTAAACATATTGAAGATTGGTACATTTTTATACTTGTATGGCTACAATCTAAGTTATAGGGCTGATCACAATGTTGTTGAGAGAGTTCTTCGTTTGCTAGATAATTCATCAAGAGATATCGCAAACAGAAGTTGAATCGGAGTAAACCAGTAACCAGTTCTCTCTCATATACATTGGTACTAGCCGTTTTTCAGCTGATACTGCCGGTATAAATCAGTATAAGCCTAATGTGGTCAATATAAAACGGTAGAACGGTTACCAGTAAGGATCGGTTATTTTCCCCGTTGCATCCCTAGGCATAAGCTGGCATAGACTTTATACTGATTAATATCGGTCTCTAGATCAAGATGTACGAACTGTTTGCGGCAGAAAAACACCAAAAATCGCTGGAATATAAAATCAGCATTACGGTCAGAAATTTTTCAGATTTTTTTCCGGTCGACTATTTATTCGTTGAATATTAATTCAACGAATAAATAGTCGAAATTTTTAGTAGTTTATAATTTTTTATGAATAAAGCACAACATTCATAGTTTTTAATCAGAATGAATTTTTATCTAGATATAATTGTATTTTTAACAATTCTTTCTTCTATTGATGTAATGACACCGGTTTATAATGATGCGATCATTTGAACATTATTTTTTCTTTTCTTAACAAAGAACACTGATAACACAGAAAGAAAAGAACATAAATTCGATTTATTGAGAATAGTTTACAATATAAACGAAAAAATAGTAATAAGAAAATGATCCTCTAGTTTTGAGCAATTTAGACACTTGAGAATTTTCTCTTTGGAATAGATTATTATTGTAATTTACTAATGCAGTAATTTCTTCTCTCATATCTCTCTAAGTTAAATAAACAGAACTCTAAGGTTTATCAATTTATTCAGAATATCATGAAGAAGTAGATCGAATTATTGAACTTTCATTGACGAGTAAAATTTCATTCGTTAGTTTCAAGTCCAAGGAATATTGAAATATTTTCATTTGAGTTTTATGAGAGCATAATCAAGACTAAAGTATTATTTTTTTGTATAAAATATTTAAGATAGAACCAAAGATATCCAGAGAACACACTGAGCCATAATATGTAGCAAGGAATCAGATGATAGGAAAGAAGATAAAACAAATACTGAGATAGAAATAAACATGGTAAAGTGATACTAAAATTAAAGGTATCCACTTAACATTAGCATTGCATCAATTTAATACTAACAATCATACTTTTGCATTACGATCCTAAGACAAATATTGTAATTCGTATTGATTAATATAATGCTAAAGTGAAGGTGGTGTCTCCAACTAACTTCGATACTTTTGTAATAAAGTAGTAATACAAAAGTAATGAAATTAATCAGAGATATCAGCTTTGCTTTAGCATTACGTTAATCAACACAAATTGCAATAGACTGATTACACCTTAAATGTGACAAAAACACTATAAATGAAGCCAAAATATCCATCGTCATATCTTTTTAACGCAAAATTTGGGCACATAGTGGTACAGTAGAATTTGTAGAGACAAATTTCCTCTACACTCTCGTATATAACACTTTTGACGAAAGTATTAAACAGGGACTATTTCAGCACGGAATGTTTTTATCATGTAATGATATATATAATTATATCTCGATTAATTGTAATAATCGTTTCGTGCTGAAATGTCCCCTGTTTGATACTCCCGTAAAAAGTATTATATATAGACGTGCAGAGAAAACTTTGCTCTACAAAACCTGCTATGCCACTATGTGCCCAAATTCTACGTTAACAAGATATGATGATGAACATTTTAGCTTTATTTACAGTGCTTTTATACAGAATAAGTTAATTTTCGCATTAGTCATGTAAATCGCTAATTTCTTCAATATTATAATTAATAGTGGATCTTGTGCTATTTTATTAAATCGACTATACTCTATACAATTTCAAACATGAAAATCGATTTTGAAGAAATCAATGTAAACGTGCCACATATACGATGAAATCGCCCAATACTTTTGTCTTAGGATCGTAATACAAAAGTATGGCTGTTAAAATAAAGTCAATGCAATGCTAATGCTAAGTCAACATCTCTAATTAAAATGTCTTCGAACCGACATAATTATAATGATGTGAAGCGATGAAAAATAATGCCAAAAAATGATGTGTGCTATAAGCATTATTGTTGCAGTTTTAAAACCATTTTCAATGTTCAAAAAAAAAGAACACCATTGTCATCGATCACAAAGAAGCTATTCTTTGGGTATTAGTTGTGACTGTTTGGCACCGTTTTTTTTATTGATATTTTAGGGCATTATAGTGTCTGTCTGGGTTGTGTTAAAAGTACTGAAATTTATAGTTTTATAGAACATGAATTATCTGGAAGCTTCTCTTTTAACAGGCGTGTTGATAGTTTTTTTTATATTTACAATAGGTTTTTGCAGTTTGTAGATGGTTCTTGCTCTATACCAGTTTGTTGTGGTTATACACGAACTTTCATCTAATATCTAAATCAGAATACTTAAAGATAGATATGACGCAGATTGCGATTGACGGGATGGTATGCTATCTTTTATAGTAATATATACTGAATCAATATCAGTTGAAGGATATCTTATATGTATGCATCGTAGATATACGTGAAAGTAGCACATCTATTAATAGAGGTTTATCAAAATATGCACATGCACTGTGTCTACGTGGTCTTGTACTTCGTGACAATAATTCTCAATCAACAATTGTTAGTAGCACGTATGTTACTCATATAAAATTATTTTATTTATAATAGTTAAATAGCATTCGTCTTTTGAAGAGCTTCGCTGCCGTTGCCTGGCGAGTAATTCTTTGTGTTGGCCAAACGCTACTATTTGGCAAATGTTCAATGAATCTATTGACGGTCGTCTCGTCGTACCTGAGCCATCAGCTGCTGTATGTGATGGAAGAACATATAATGCTATGGGTTGCAGTATAGCCAAAGCACAATGGTCAAACGCGGCATGGCGCAGCGATCAAGTTGGTGCAATGCAAATGCATAATTGGGAAAATAGTTCATGTTCAATATTCGTAAATAGCTCAACATGTAATCAAGGTTCTGTATCGGTGCTGGCTGTTGACGCAATGTCGCCCGAACATGTTCAAGCAACTGTTCGATTCGCTGCGATGAATAATCTTCGCTTAGTTATCAAAAGCACTGGACATGACATTTTAGGTCGATCGACAGCAGCTGGATCTCTACTTTTATGGCTTCATCATATGAGAAACATGACATTGATTGAACAATACTCATCCTGTGGCCTCAACAATGTATCAAATGCTATTCGTTTAGAAGCAGGTGTCCAATGGAGTGAAGTCTATCTATGGCTGAGTAAAATCAATTTGGTAGCAATTGGTGGAACATCAGGTACAGTGAGTGCGGTTGGTGGTTACCTTCAAGGAGGTGGACACAGTCCACTATCACGTTGGAAAGGTATGGCTGTTGATCAAGTACTTGAATACGATGTTGTTACCGCAGATGGACAACGCCAAACGGTAAATGCATGTCAAAATGGTGACTTATTCTGGGCATTAAGCGGTGGAGGTGGAGGTACTTATGCGATTGTACTTTCTGCTGTTGTACAAACTTTTCCATCACCATCTATTGTTGCTGCAACATTTTCAGTCAATACATCAAATGGAACTCGCTATGAAAAATTAATTGAAAGCTTCGTCGAAATTTTACCGACAGTAGCCGATGCCGGATGGTCTGGCTATTTCGATATAGCCGATATGACATTAAGGGTTTTATTTCATGTGCCTAATGGAGATTGGGCTGCACTCAATGCTATATTGAATCAATTTGCGGTCAGCAACAGTGATTTAGATTTCAACACCACTAAGAGTTTTGTTGTCCCATCTTTTTATGGCTACTTTGCCCTTCTGTTGGAACCGAATAATCCTACTGGCTATAATCTTCTAGTGAGCTCACGACTCATTCCGGAAAGCATAATTCGGAGTAAACCGGATGAAGTCGCAGCAGTCTTTGTCCAAGCGAAAGGTCAGAGTACAACTGGCTCGAATCTTCGTGGAAGTTTAGTAGCCGGTGGACAAGTATCAAATACAAAAAACAGAAATAACAGTGTTAATCCTGGATGGCGTACAGCTCTTGTTCGTATGGCCTGTATGCAAAGTTGGTTGGATACAATATCCAAAGCTGATCAAGACTACTTAGCTACACAAGTCTTACTTCGAGCAGAGATGTTAGACACAGTATTGCCTGCTGGTTCACAACCAACATGCTACGGTAATGAAGCCCATCCAAATGAAATGAATTGGCAAGAGAAATTTTTCGGTTCGAAAGCTATATACAATCAACTGAAAAGAATAAAAGAAAAATACGATCCACTGGGACTCTTCGTATGTACAAATTGTGTTGGTAGTGACGATTGGACATCGGATCTCAATTGTCCGAGAAAGTCGAATTCTATTAAAGTCAATCTAACAATATTTCTCTTATTCATAGAAATATTTGCGGTATTATCATAAAATATCAGTAAAAAACAAGACGAAATTATCGGATAATAATTGAAAAATATCATGATATAAAGCCAATAAATTATTCATGCAATTTTTTTCTACAAGTTTTATTGATCCTTTTATATTTAAACAATAAGACTTGAGCTCTTTTTTTCCGATGCTAGAAATCCGTGTATGCATAAAAGACAAACGATAAATTAGAAGCTGAAAGGAACTCTATCAAAATATATATAGATACTTGAATTATGCTAATAAATATAACTAAGAGGCAAGTATTAGCATAAAAGAGCTGCTTCAAAAGGAAATGCTATGTGATCATTCACATTATAAGAGTACTGCTGTGATTTCTATTGATAGATGCATGAATATTTACTGGGAATCCTCAGCTATTCAGATGCTCATCAGTTTGTGTATATGAAGCTTTCATGATAACCTAGAGTGAGTGCGCGTATAGGCTTAGATTTGGGTATAGTGGTAATAGTGCTCATCATGTTCTTACTAATACAGACAAATACACCCACATACACATATTCTGAATCAGCAGCGAAAACTGAGTCGATCTAGAAGCGCTTCAAGTTATTTACAAATTTCTTTTTGTCGAAAAATGCACTCCACTTTACCGTTAGAATTTACTTAAAAAATGTTTTAACTGGAATTCTTTTTCATTGAATCAGTTTCAGCCGTTAATTATTTTAGATTTGTGGTCAGAGTACTTACCTTGACTAACTCATAGGGATTTGTTGAAATTCCAGGAATACATCTGAGAAGGGCTGCACGGATACAAGTACAAATTGTACTGGGAAAGAATGTGACTCCCACAAATTAAGAATTTGCAATCTAATGTACCCTTATGTGCTGGGTCTAAAAATGTAGATTAACAGATTTGTACTTTCATGAACTCTCATGCACCCCTATCTACATCCACAACCACAAATAGGAGGCACGATTTCTCTTCTTTTACAGAAGCTTCTTAACGATTTTTTAATGATCACTGACAGTTTCCAGGAAAAGGACTGTTCTACAGAAACGAATTAATATTTAAGGTTTCGAAAATCAAAACATATTGACTATGTTCAATTTTTTAGAGTCTTTCCAATGGTACTATCTGCCATTAGAGGAAATTTTATGGATGAATAGGTAGAACGTGAAGTGTTCCAGAAATTTTTGCCTCTGAAGATTTTTGGTTCTTTTCATTTCTTAATATTAAAACAAGACGTTTTGCGTCCGTATAGCTTGATATGAAACCGTAGCTAATAACTATACTAAACACCTATATAATGTTTAATTCGAATGAAATATGAAATTTTGGGAAGCAATTTGTTGGTGTCCCAGAATTGTTTGCACGTCTTGTAATTACTTCGAATTCAGAAAAGAAATTCAGTTCTTATTCTACATGCTCCAACACCAAATCATTTAGTGGAACTGATCAAAGTTCAATATGATAAAAGAATGATCATTGTTTTATCAAGATCTCTCTCTTAGTCGAAACACATGAAAATGAATGATAGCAAAACTGTAGTTAAGCATTTGGGCATTCATGAAGTTGTAATATCAAAACTAGTCAAATGGATAAAATAGGCGAACTCTGTTCAATCTATGGAAGACAAATAAAGGGGCACGGAATCTGTTTTGAACTCCTTCAATATGTCAAAGATCTATCGATTTGCCTTTAACAACAACAAAAATAATAAGAACGAAAACTTCAAAACCAATATAAAAAATAATTACTATCATAGGATTACTTTTATTCGATGGTTAGTAATCCTGAGAAATTGATATATATTTATATGCATATGCTAGCGTTCTATTTAAGATCCCCCTAGTTTAAATTGCGATTCTCATTTCTGATTATTTCAATGTCAAATCGAGGAAGAAACATTGTTAAAATCTCCACTTGTTCTTAGGTAGAAGTTGTATTGAAATACTTGTTGATGAACGGTGTCGAAACAGTGGTTTTCAGGTATAGCAATCATTAACGAAGAAACTAAGTATGGAATCAAACACTAACGGATTATTTTCCAAAAACAAACTACTCTTCTATAGAAATTTATTCGTCATTTCTTCAGTCCCACCTTAATTTTTTCGTCCACTACTGTATTAACTAAAATGTCATATTATTTCAAAACAGTTCACTAAGAAACATTACAATTCAATATCTGTCTAACGTCGAGCGAAACTTTTAATGAAAGCTTATTCTTCGATTTGATGTTTGATTAGTCCAAACTGAGACTAGCAGATTGCTCTAGGCGGATTTAAGATTGGCCGCTAACATATATATAGATGCACTTATTTCTACGAATTTCCATTAATTGCTGATCATTTTTAGCATTATGGATCAGCTTGTTCCCTTGATTTCTTCAAAAATAGTCATACAGACGCCATTCAAGCCATTACTACAGATGCATGTAATAAAAAGTAGTCATAGTTCAAACTCGTAGCATACGTTGGTAAAGATTTCGTTGTATGTTGTGTGTGTGTCAACAAGCACATCAAGCGTACATCGTGATAAAAATTCATGAATCAATGAGCTGCCACTGGCCCTAGGAACCAGAAAGTTTATTATACAAATACTAACTCAATCAATACTGTGTTTTTATTCACATCATCTTCCCCTCGCTTACCATTCTCTTTACTCCTTACCGAATATCTATCGTTCTTTCATTTGTTTCTCTTTCTCTTTCTCATGGTCATCTTTGTGTTCATCTTCTTTTTGCACTGCTTCCTGCACAACTTTGAGTTGAATATGAAAAAGTGACATATCGGACATGTGATTTAGCTCAATGAACATCATCACAGAGGGTGACGGTAAGCTATTCATCCAGTTTGTTGTTAACACTACCATCTGGCATAATTTATTGACTAGGATTTCTTCTTCTTGTACCTTATGGCAAAACACTCAACAACTTTTTTGAATAGATATGACTAAAAAATGTCAAGAATTTTTCAGTGATCTAAAATAGTTTGTTAGACGATCTTTTCTTTTACTTTTGTATCACGTTCCATCATGCGCTACTATTTTTTGTATTTTCAGCAACACCATTTGAGGTTATTTCATCGCCAAAGCTCATATCTAAAGGCATGTCTCGAATCAAATCTGACGCACATACTCGCTCTGCACAGCTAAACAAAATATACGATTTAATTTTGTAACATCATCTTCCCAAGAGCTCCCCAAAAAGATCCTGTTAATATCATAATGGTTATTTGCATTATTCTCTATGGTCCAATGGTGAAATAACAAACGCCCATAAAACTGCCACTTCGTCATCGCTTTGCTCAATCAAGTACAGTCGGCACTTCTTCTTTTCGTATCAAAGTTATCCATTATAAACTCATTAAACCTCTTTCTGTCACACAGTTCTACATGATCAAGAAGAAACTCTTTAAAAACAAGACAAGCAGTTGAACTTCTCGCAGCACAATTAAGTATCAAAGTTTTATGACACAGTATGATTCAAAATCAATAAGAGCAACAATATTCCATGATGGTTCAAATCAACTTGCAACTAACATCTAAAAGTTAGTTGACAAATTAGTAAATTGAAAATACACGTTTCGATTGCTAGCAAGCGTTCAGTAAAATAGACACGTCACCAGAAAACTCATTAGCCACTGCCAGATCCACTTTGTTATCTTTGTTGAAATCTCCTGAAATTAAATACAATGGTTGTCGACCAGTTCCATAGATATACTGCGTACGAAATGTTCCATCCCCATAGCCTAACAACACAATAATACAATTTTCGTCGTAGATAGCTATTGCCAAATCCAGTTTGTTATCAATGTTGAAATCACCTGATATTATAGATTCTGGACGCCGACCAACTGTATAATTCATGAGAGTTTGAAAAGTTCCATCACCATTACCAAGAAGCACACTGATCGTATGTTCGCCTGAGTTAGCTACTGCTAAATCCATTTTATTATCATTGTTGAAATCGCCCGATATTACAGAACACGAATTCATGCCTGTCACATACTTATACTGATTGTGAAAGGTTCCAATTCCGGTACCAAGCAATACGCTGACACTATTTTCGCCGTAGTTGGCGATTGCCAGATCGAGTTTCTTATCATTATTGAAATCAACTGAGATAAGAGACTTTGGATTGATACCACTTAGGTACTTGCTTTGATTATGAAAGGTTCCATCTCCCTTACCAAGTAAAACGCTCACAGTGTTTTCGCCTTGATTGGCAACGGCCAAATCAAGATTTTTATCATTATTGAAATCACCTGATGTCACCGATGATGGACTAATGCCAGTGGAATATCTCACTTCAGTTCGAAAGGTTCCATCTCCATTGCCGAGTAGCAAGCTGATGGTATCTTCGCCATTGTTAGTCACTACCAGATCCAACTTGAGATCATTATTGAAATAGTTCGATAGTATAGAAGATGGTTCGCTGCCAGTTCCAAAGTTCTTTCCACTGTAAAAGTTTCCATCTCCGTCGCCGAGAAAAATACCAATAGTATTGTCAGCTGAGTTGGCCACTGCGAGATCTCGTTTGTTATCATTGTTGAAATCACCTGACGTCACAGACGTTGGTTTGTTGCCTGTATGATACGTGGTATGTAGTCGAAAGGTTCCGTTCCCATAACCAAGTAGTACGCTTACAGTACTGTCACCTTCATTCCCAACTGCCAGATCCAGTTCCGTATCATTGTTGAAATCGTCTAGTATTATAGAAGATGGTTTACTTCCTGTTGAGTATCTCACCTCCGATTGAAAAGTTCCATCCCCATAACCAAGCAATATGCTGACAGTCGATTCTTCATAGTTGGCTACAGCCAGATCCAATCGATTATCGTTATTGAAGTCACCTGATACTAAGTATTGTGGACCATCACCAACCCTGTAGTTTATACGAGCCTGAAAAGTACCATCCCCATTGCCATTCAACACGGTCAGGGTATCTTCGTAGTAGTTGGATACAGCCAGATCCAATATTTTGTCGTTGTTGAAGTCACCTGATATGACAGCTTTAGGAGTGCTGCCGGCCCTGTATGGCGCTTGACTTTGAAACGTTCCATCACCATTGCCCATCAAAATACTAACGGTGCTTTCATATGAGTTGGCTACTGCCAGATCGAGTCTGTTATCGTTATTGAAATCTCCTGATGTTAAAGAATATGGACCGAGACCAGTTCTATATTCATGCTGACTTTGAAATGTTCCATCCCCATTACCAAGCAAAATGCTGACTGTGGTGCTGCCTTCATTAGTTACTGCCAAATCCGGTCTGTTATCAGAGTTGAAATCAGCCACTGTCACGCATGTGGGATAGATACCAGTCGTATATTTCACTTGAGCCTGAAACGTTCCATCATTGTTGCCAAGCAAAATACTGACGGCATCTTCGTAATAGTTTACCACTACTAGATCAAGTTTGTTGTCATTGTTGAAATCATGTGATATCACCGAATAGGGATTAGTGCCAGTTGCATATTCGTACTGCGGTTGAAATATTCCATTCTCTTTTCCAATCAGCACACTAACATCGTTATCTTGTTGATTTGCTGTTGCCAGATCAAGTTGTTTATTATTGTTGAAATCACCTACAGTCACACATACTGGAGAGTTGCCAGTCTTATAGTTTGTTGAAGATGTATAAGGATTTACACACAATTCTATAAAAACGAAACAATATTACAAAAAAATACATTACATGATAAAGATCAATGGAATATTAATAAACTCTCCAATTCTCTTCTGTGTACCATCATGCAGATTGTGAGATTTGATGCATTTAATACACTTAATTATAAGTCTCGCTGACTGGTCTGAAGCATATGAGTATTTCATCTATTGCAAAATCATTATTAACTATTGCATGGTGCCTTATCAATAATTCATTCTTTGGCGACTTATTTATAAATGCAGTGTCTCTGGCAGACGTAAGAAACGTGTTATCCAGCTAATGGTTCTTTCTACTTAAAATCTTTCAAATGCTGTATTATTTCTGATATACTCTAAAAAGATTTCTGACTTTCTACTTAGAGCAATTAGTTCCTTATAAAAGCTTAAGAAAACTTTGTCTCTATATATTCTGATAGAGAAAATAATGTTTTTTTTTATCTATGGTATTTGATCATGCGTCAACTAATGTCATAATAATAAAAATTTCGATAAATTGTGATTTGCTTGCATGTTTGGATGCATGAAATCGTGTATTGTAGCTTTTCTAATATTGATTTCTGAAGTATTTTGATTCAATTCTCTAATTGTCGGGAAAATACTTTCTTATGAAAAAAAAAGAAAAGGCATAAAAGTGAGCTTTTCTTCACAAATTTTCCTAGAAAATCATATTAGAGGCTCGACTAGAATATATAGTGTTCATCTTAGCCTTTGGCACTTTGTACATTTTCGCTTAGTAGTTTGAAATTACACTCGATCATTGAAAATTCACTGTAAAACAACTTACCGGATAAGTTTGTACTTAAAAAGGTCAATGGAAAGCCTTACAAAAACAGATCAGGAAACCCTGAAATATACGATTCAAGGCGTCTCCATTTCCTTTTGCCAATGGTGAGAACCGCAGCTGTTTATCTTGTTTCTATCGAAATTTATTCAAAACATACTCATGCGTATTTTTTTTAAATGAGTAATAATACAACCGGTACATATGATAACGAAACAAATCTTATCGAAATTTTATTATTATGATATAAGTTGAACTATGCTGAAATAACAGAAAAATAGAGCATTCTTTTCTCTATCAGATGGCATAGAGAGAAAGTTTCTTTAAGTTTTCTATAAGGAATTCACGTACCATTCTTCCTACTTTTGGATTGCCTTAAGTAACAGGCTAAACTATTTCTTTTCCAAACTTCTAGTTTGACAAAGATTCTAGAATTTCACAAGATCACAGATTTTCAGAGTCTTTAATATCACGGCATCGATTCTCGAACGATTTAATCCAATAGTCTATTCAAGCGTCATCTATCTATGTATACCTACATTTTCCCTAATTTTACATAGAATTGAAGCCATCTTCCTGTCTGATATCGTGATTGTATTATCGTAAAAAACGTTCAACAAAAAGAAACTACAAAACTTTCTTGAAAGAAAAAACTTTAGAAAGAAATTCATGGATGAAAAATTGGATCGTTTCAGATATTTTTGATATTTTTTTAATGTTTATTCTTAGATTATCTACTTTGATAATTATCTGCGCATTTTGAGTGCTCATTTATTCATAAAAACTGATCCTTTAGGTGGCACCAGCCATGAAGATGCATTCTCTCTGCAAAAATGCATTATATTTTTTCGAAATGAAAGAAAGTACTATCTACTTTTTTCTGCTAAGAGTTTGACTCGGTTTTGATAGAACCATAAACAATTTGAGTGTGCTCAATAAAGAATTAAAAAATCTGGAAACCCATAAGGCAATAATAGAAAGACAATGACTTGGATAAAGATGATCTTCATCAACATGAAACAATCACATGTTTCATATGTAAGCATTATTTATCTTTAAGTTGAAAAGAAAATCAAAATACACACTGGATGAGTTGTTAATAGATCTCGTAGATCTTGATCCCAGAACAGAACCTAGAACAACTGCCGTGATGACTATAGTCGTCAATAAGCTGATCAAGATGAGAAATCTTTTCTTGCTATACCAGTGACGTTCTGGTGACCTAATAAAAGTTACGTCAAAAATATAGTTAAATGAAGATATATTAAAGCTTACTTGATTTTTGGATAAAGATGCGCTCCTATATATATATAAATGTTTCAATTCAAAATAAATTAGTTATAATAATCAACAGGCAATAGTAGGAGCGCAAAGAGTAGATAATAGAGAATAAGAGATATTGAATTTTTACTGCAAAATTTACCTTCTAATAAAATTACTGGAGTTGAAATTCTATTTTTTTCAGCCATAGTCAAATGTCATAAGCAGAAAAATTTGAAGCGAAGCAGCTGTCATTAGGACTCATAGACTATTGACATTTAATCTGTGAATCATTCGAAAAGTTTTCTCACACAAAAAGTCTATATCTCCGTCGTAGTTTGACCTATGAAGCTCAATTTTATGAATGATCGAGCGAAATTGCTACTTTTTATTTCAATTATCAACGTTTTTTGTTTTGGAAAATTCACAATCTGGCGCCATCAACTTGATTACATAATTGAACCATTTCTTCTCAATATTTTCATTCGGAGTCAGCCATAAAAACGCCAAAATATGCTAGACGTTTTTCATAATTGCTATTCTTGAGAGCTTTTTCGGATAGCTATTGCAATAGACAACTTTCTATTTTCATTAACGAATTACGCAAGTAGAATAGAAAGAGTGGAAAATGTTGAATCACTTGAAAGTTCTACAATTCTGGAATAATTAAACCTAACATTGCCGTTCGTCGATGCAGATAGAATTGTTTTTACTGGAATCATCATCCAAAAAAGCTTCACAAAATGCGATCTATTAAAAAACTTCCGAGTAGCTTTGTGTCTGTGTGATTGATGGTTGATGGACGTTTTCAACCCAAAATTCACATAAGTCAGGCAAAGGTATTTGGAGTTTTCTTTGTGCACTTATCCACGAAGACAGTATAAAACTTCGGAGAAGCTAGATAGGCCGAAAAGAAACGAAGACTAAATCGATTATTTTTGCCAGAAAACTTATATCTTTCTGTTTTGAATAAAAATAAATGCGGAAACTTCGGATTTAAATCCGAGAGTTATGTGTACTTCAAAAAGTGAATCATACAAATCAATCATCCTAGACTGTCTGAATATCAAAATTATACTGTGAAATCTACCAT